TACACAATTCACATGAATTAAGTTATTGCTATTTGCAATTGTTTAATTTAATAATAATAATTGAATATTTGAATAATTGTTCATTTATGATACACCTTGTTAGTAGCTTGTAACTGCGATTGTTGATCAGTTAGTACACTGTAAGAAAATATCTAGAAAAATGGAAAAGGTACTAGTTATTTTCCAGGACATTATCCATTAACCATTATTCATTATCCATTGTAATCCTGTAACCCAAAAACACAAAATGCAATGCGTAATTTAAAATGCAGGTAAAAAACCTGTGAAAAACCAATACGGAAAATTCCTTCATATTAACATAGTAGATTGTGCCCTATTTTTATACTAACTAACTGCTAATACACTGCTTAAAACTATAATTGTTCAGAATGTGTAGTTTTACCAGTTTACTAGCTAATAAAAAAAACTTAAATTGTAATTGTTCAAAAATGTGTGCATGCAGAGTAATGCAGCGTTAGAAAGCGTTTTTTTTAACTTTCACTTTCTCTATTGTGAATTGACTAAGATTAAAGGTGCGTTAACACCATATCGTAATTACCGTAATTACGAGATACCAACTTGTACGAAGCGTTCACGTCCTCGTAGAACTCGTAATTACAACTTGTGAACTGGGAGTTTTCTGAGAGCTACGGCTTGTGCCTCGTGACCGCTGCACCTCACGCAGAACCAGAGAAAAATGGTGGCGCTTTCAAAGAAAGCTGTTACTGATTTAAAAAAGGGGAAAATAGATACATATGAAGAGTTTGGTTCCAAAACGTGATAAACGCCATTTTTGAAAAAAATTTAGTTTCCGCCAAAATCAGTATTATATCTGGTCGGTATTGAAAAGTCAATTTTTAATTTTACGCACAATGCGATATCCGCCGAGTTATTCTGTCATGTTTTCTCCCTTTTTTTCCAAACCGCGACAAACGCCAGTCTGCAGAATGCGATATACCAATCTCAACCAATCACAGCGCACCATTCCACGCACTGTAAACGGTAACAACCAATCACAGCGCACCATTCCACGCACTTTAGACAGTAATGGCAGTGCTATGAATACACCCGGCATCCTAGTTTTCTTCATCTATTTTGTACTTTGTGATCAACAAACAAACTTAGGGCTGCACGATAAATCGCCGTACACTTTCTGTGTTCTGCAATATTTAGCAGTAGCATACAATGCTATGTGTTTTACAGCTGCCAGTAGCATTCTTTCACGCGGTTGCAGGTTCATTTTATTGACTGTTGCTATAGAAATGGATAATCCCCGGTCCGAGGACGTGAACAGCAGCGAGTTGAACGTCACGTGTTAGTAATTACAACATGGCCGTGGTCGATCTTGGTTCAATATCAATTAATATGTGTATACTGTACATATAAGGGGATAAAAATATTTTGTTGAATGGCTTTTAGCACCATTTTTAACTTGGGTCAAATTCAGTCGGCTATTTGCTTGCATTCATTGCAAATGTATTGACAATGCTGGTTTGTTTGGAGAACACCACGAACCATGTGACCGAGAGAGAAGCTTGTCGCGGCTCTGGCTTTAACTGAAGTGCTACATTTTACGATTTATGCCACATTACGTGCGCCAAAACGGTATTTATTGTTAGTATTAAAACTCACAAAATTTGAAAGCCGAGACTTTGTGTCGTATGGCATAAACAGGGTTGCCAGTTTGGCGTGAGGTTTACATGGGCAGAGAGAGAGCAATGCGTGAGAGTTGGCAGCCCTGTCTATAGGAACGGTAGCCTTAAATGACTTCTGTTGTGATCTGGCACTATATAGAAAATACAATTAACTTGACCTTCAAGGGGGTGGGGGGTGGGGCGCACCTCTAATATAATGGCAAAGGACTGATGGGAGGAACAAAAGTCGGAACACTTTATTTTAAGGTGTCATTTTTATACATGCTACATTTACTTACTATTATAATAACAATCAGGCCTGTCGCAATAATCAATATATCGACTTATCGTGCAATATATGTACATGACCTCAATCATTTTTGGTGACGCAATATATCGCCCATTATATTTACTTAAAAATTAAAGTCACCATGTTTTGTACATTCCACTTGCGCCTGTGGCTTCTGCAGCTTCTGGTACATAACGTGGTGTAGCGAGGTGCTAGTTCACATTTAAAACATGCTTCTACAAACAACGTTTCATCTGCAGATGTGGCCTTGTTTAGGGATCTGTGTCTTTGTGCACACGGACATCTGACTGCGGAGCACTGCTTGTGTTTTTCAGCAATAGTGTGCACCCTTCATTTACAGAGAAAAGAAGGTCTGGGAAAAATCTGTAGATGGAAAAATCTCTATACAAGTTTGTTGTACCCTTTTATTTTTTTCTACTTGTTACTTTGCACTTTTTGTTAGAAAATGTTTATTTACCATTTATTCAGGTTTTTTAAGGTATCTAATATTTTGACACTTAATTTCCATGATCTAAATATTCTTAAAAATTAAAAGTTTGTTGTCATTTGGAAGTGTGTGGGCCTTCTTGCATTATTATTCTGTTACATTATGATTATATATTCAGTGGCATAAAATGGTCTTTAAAATGACGATAATATCGCTTATCGCAATTATTTCTGGGGGAATATATCGCACAACAAAAAGCTGTTATCGTGACAGGCCTAATAACAATAAATAAAAAGTAACTTCTAATCTAATCCTAACCATATAGTAAGAATACCCCAGAACGTAATAAACATAATCAGCGTTCGACTACGTTCTGGGACACTCTCAAAAATGGCAGAAGAGAGTAACTCGGGGAGATGCATCGTTGAATAAATTGTTGTTATTGTTTTCTTTGTCCACAAAAAGTATTCTCGTACCTTCTCAATATTACGGTTGAACCCCTGATGACACATGGACTGTTTTAACGATGTCCTTGCTATGTTTCTGGACCTGGGAACATCGCAGTTGTGTTGCTGTCTATAGCAGGGTCAGAGAGCTCTCGGATTTCATCAGAAATATCTTAATTTGTTTTCCGAACATGAAGGTCTTACGGGTTTGGACAACATGAGGGTGAGTAATTAATGACAGAATTTTCATTTTTGGGTGAACTATCCCTTTAAAATAAAGTGTAACCCAAAAGTCTTATAAGTTTGAAACAACAGTAAATTATAGAATCTTAAGTTATTCAATTTTTAATGTATACAATTACAAATGTACAATTTGAATGTAATAAATGAGAATCTTGCTTGTTGCATTATAATGTAATTAATGCGAAGAAGCTTGACAGTTTGGGACAACATTTTTGGAGCTGCATGTTGTATGCATATATACATACAGGGAATGTAACGGGGAAATCATTTTGTGAAATCCATCATTTATGAGATTCAGTTTCAGCTGTAAAGACAGTTTAGTTTTAAAGCTCTGCTCTGTATAAAGAAGCAATGGCACATAAAAGTCATACTAGAATACTGCACTCCAAGCCACTTTATACATCTCTTTATGTATACATTAGTTTTGAACTGTTTTGCAAATAAATGTTGCTTTCCACAAGGGTTGGGTACCGAAACCCGGTACCAATATGGCACCGATACCTATGTAACCGGTATGTACTAGAACCGAATCAGAATGCAGATTTCGGTGCCATGCCTGAGCGATCGATTGAAATATGTGTCCTCTGTTTCTCCGAAACGGACGCAAGAAGCATCATCACCGGCACCGCACGTGAAAAATTATTTCCCGACTGAGAAAATGCACGTGAACTCGAGTCGGAAAGCTCTAATAATACAAATACAAATCGTGAGTGTCCATGTTGTTTTCACATTCCGACTTAAAAGCACAACTGAGCGCATCCGAGGAGCGTGTGAATGCAGTAATTACACTTGCTCTGATGGCAGCAGGTAGCCTTCCGTTAACTAAGCTAAAATTAAAATGCCTAAAGCTAAACCTCCCTCGTATTCACATTCCTAAACCTGTTGTCCAACAAAAGAGAACATTATAACCTTACTCCACAACACCAGTCAAATGCTTTCTTTTGGGATCTGATGTGGCTTCTTGTCACAGAAAATATGTTCCATAGGCTACTTTTAAAAGAATACATCGATTAGCAATGGATTATAAATATACTTCATTATTATGAAAATACCAGAGATGGCTTGAATGACACAGATAAACTATACTGTCGCAGTCGAGTGTTTATGGTCTTTGTTTTATCATTCAAAATGGTTATATGTTCTGTTTACTCAGTTACAGATATAATAGCGATGCCTTTGTCCATATTAGGGATTTCCTGGAGGGTCATGAGTTTCACTTCTGTGATTGGATATGTGGATTTTCTGTGCGAGGGCAACCTCGGGCGTCCAGTATGAATGAAACCGACATCATGTGTTTATAGTGCTAATGGCCAATCCATAATTTTTGGGGGAATTTACTTTTTTTATTTTTTAATAAGTATCGGTACAGGCACCGTTTAGGCACCGGAACCGTTTTAAAAGTATCGAATTGGTATCGGAAAAAAAAAAACGATACCCAACCCTACTTTCCACACATAATGCTGTTCAACAAACTGCAGGACATCAGTTTTGTGCAGGTTGTGGCAAATGTAGTCATATAAGTGTGCTGGCCAGTGAAATGTGCGGTGTCAGAAATACTTCAGGCATCTTTGCAGATTGTGTATTTATAAGTGTCTTATTATCTAAAAGGCTGTTGTGCTCAGATTCGGTCTCAACCCTCAGATCCTCTGTCCTTCAGCTCAATCGGTTGTGCGTTCTTGTTAAGAGCAGCTTTGTTTCCCGTCTCTGGTGTCAGTGCATGCGGATTTAGTATGACTTTAAGCCTGTGTGCATTTATAATGAGATCCACCCACTCCAGATCGGTTACACTAGCACAAATACCCCTGCATCTGTCTGTTTCTCTCTAAACACACTCACTGACAGTGCTAGGCTCGTCTTTAAAGCAGCCTCACTCGCAAAACAATCCTCCAAACATGTCACTTGCTCTGATAATTGGCACAGGAGTCTTTGCTGAGTTTGATGAGCTATGATGAAATGTTCAGAGTGTCATGACAGTGCAGAAGAGCTGTCCGTTATGAGTTAATAAAGGTCCTGAGATTATCGTACTACTTACAAGATGCACCATCTTTCTCAATAGCACCATGAAATATCAGCACAACTTTATGACATTTACCCTGCCTTTCAAAAGTTTGGGATCAGTAAGATTTTTTTTTTTTTTAGAAGTCTCTTGTGGTCATCAAGGCTGTATTTATTTGATCAAATATACAGAAAAAAAACAGTAATTACTCCAGTCATCAGTGTCGCATGATGTTTCAGAAATCATTCTGATTGCTGATTTACTATCAATGTTGGAAACATTTGTGCTGCTTAATTTTTATTTTTGGAACCTGTGATACTTTTTTCAGGATTCTTTGATGAACAAAAAATTAAAAAGAGCAGCATTTATTCAACATATAAATATTGTCTTACAAAATAAGTCTTTACTGTCACTTTTAGTCAATTTAACAGATCTTTGCGGAGTAATTTGCTGAATGAAAATTATTTATTTCCAAAAAAAAAAATTAAGAAAAATTGTACTGACCCCAAACTTTTGAGCTGTAGTGTATATTATTGCAAAAGATTCCTATTTTGAATAAATGCTGTTCTTTTTAACTTTTTAATTAAAAGAGCAGCATTTATTCAACATATAAATATTGTCTTACAAAATAAGTCTTTACTGTCACTTTTAGTCAATTCAACAGATCTTTGCGGAGTAATTTGCTGAATGAAAATTTTTTTTTCTCAAAAAAAAATTTAAGAAAAATTGTACTGACCCCAAACTTTTGAGCTGTAGTGTATATTATTGCAAAAGATTCCTATTTTGAATAAATGCTGTTCTTTTTAACTTTTTAATCATCAAAGAATCCTGAAAAAAGTATCAGTTTCCAAAAAAAGCTAAACACAAATGTTTCCAACATTGATAATAAAACAGCATTTTATAATGATTTCTGAAGGATCATAAGAACCTTCTTTAAAGAACATCAAAAATCTTACTGATCCCAAACTTTTGAATGGCAGTGCATGCATAGATTTACAACACAATTATAAGTGTGATGTTGCTGTTGTATGCCATTCAGTAAACCAAAAAGTTAGTATTCAGTAACTTAAATTTTAGACACAATTTATCAAGTTACTTTGCTATTTTTGTGTATGTAAATGTAAATCAAGCGCTGCCTTTCTGCGCTACACACAGTGGTGGTGTTTTTTGTTTTAAATGAATCGTCTGAGTGAAATTTATATATCATTTATATGTTGTTAGGCCAAAAATATGGGTAGTATTAATGTGTTGGAAAAATGTACTGTTCAATTTATAATCATATTTTTTGTCTTGGTTGCTCTGCTGCATAATTCTGTCACTGTCCTCCACATAACCAACAGTGGCTGTTTATCGCCACGCCACTGTTTGTCACATTTCAGAGCTAATTAATTGTGGCGCTCTTGTGTTCTCAGATGTTTGAGCAGCTCAGTATCATCTCTGAGCCTGTGAAGGCGTTAGGCTTAGGTTTATTCAGCTGCTGCTGTTTTGAGAGATGAGATTGTAGCTTCAATGACATCTGGATGTGTGATTGAGGCATCGCCAGCATGTTCGCATGTGGCCCGGCTTGTTACACGCTTGATTTCACATCCCAGAGACCTTTAACTGGTATAAGCAGACTGATACTTAAAGTGTTTTTGTTCAATGGTAATATAATGCTATTTCTTGTAGTTTCTTGGCATATAAATGCCATAATATACCATTATAATAATTTATTACCATGCTTAAAGGGATAGTTCACCCAAAAATGAAAGTTTGATGTTTATCTGCTTACCCCCAGGGCATCCAAGATGTAGGTGACTTTGTTTCTTCAGTAGAACACACATGATGATTTTTAACTCAAACCGTTGCAGTCTGTCAGTCACTTGAGAGAGGTGAATGGGTGGTCCATTGACGCTCCATTGACACTCCTAATTGAGATTGTAGATAGTGTCAATGGTCCACTTGAGAGATAGGTGGCAGTAATGCACTTATAAGTCTGTGATCCGCCGTAAAGCAAGAAGAAGACGCCTCAAGCGACTGCTGTTGAGAACGCGCTCAGGAGGACGCGCCGCCGCTCAGGACAGCTCGAACATTGCATGAATCAGAGGAAAAAAATGATATAAATACTGTTCAGTTTCTTGCACTGACTGATCGTTTTGTGTCTTTACACATCAGTGTATCGTCACGAGCTGCAGGGTTTAATTTGGTTTTGTTTGTGTATGTTTTCTTTTTTTTACTCTCAAAGCTGTGATTCCCATTCGCTTCCATTATAAGACTGACAGACTGCAACGGTTTGAGTTAAAAATCTCCGTTTGTGTTCTACTGAAGAAACAAAGTCACCTACATCTTGGATGCCCTGGGGGTAAGCAGATAAACATCACATTTTCATTTTTGGATGAACTATCTCTTCCCCAAAAATAAAATTCTGTCATTTATTCACCTTGAAGTTGTTCCAAGCCTGTATGAGTTGCTGGATGAGTAACAGTTACTGGTGCCCATTGATTTCTGGAGCATGGAAGTCAATGGGGACCAGAAACTCGGTTAGCAACATTCTTCAAAATATCTTCTTTTCCCCAAAAATAAAATTCTGTCATTTATTCACCTTGAAGTTGTTCCAAGCCTGTATGAGTTGCTGGATGAGTAACAGTTACTGGTGCCCATTGATTTCTGCAGCATGGAAGTCAATGTGGACCAGAAACTCGGTTAGCAACATTCTTCAAAATATCTTCTTTTGTGTTCAACAGATGAAAGAAACTCGAACATGTTATCAATTGTGTCTTTCATATATCTCTGAACTGATGATCGTCATGACTTTCCTTTAGTAGCCGTTCTGTTGTGCTCTTTCTCGGCCAGGTTTTTTCGTGTTTCTCTCTCTTTCAGTACTTCAACAATGAGAAGTATGAGGCCGAGCGTTACGATAGTTTTCTGAAGGTGTACGAGTCGTCCTCTCTGAAGACCACCTCTTCTCTGGCCATGCTCAACTTTGGTCAGAGCACCATCTTCAGCGTCGGCCTCACCGCCATCATGGTGCTGGCAAGCAAAGGCATAATGGCAGGTGAAAATCAGTGATTTCTTGTAGCCTTTTTTTCCTTTCTTTCAGATTTAAAATTACAATATGCCTCAGCAACATGCAATGACACGCTGATATAATTAGAGATGAATGTGGCCAGGAGATCCAGTCCAGCCAATAAAAGCAGGTGTAAAAGTCTCAGCTGACTCAGGCAGTGATCTGTGAATGTCACGTGTAAACAGAGGCTCAAAGTAAATGGAGCTGGGCGATATATAGTGTAATAGTATAGATATATAGTAGAAATAAAGGCGACAGCAGCAGTCAGTGCATGCCGCTAGTACGTCTGCATGTTCTGTGTGTCTCTGTGTGAATGAATGGCACAGTTTCATCTGTTACACAAAAACTCAAACACGTGACACTCAGTGTTTTCAACGTCTGTGTCTCAATATATGAGGACATGAACACATGAACTTAATCTCCAGAGCTGCTCTGAGAGTCTCTTCAACAACTTTACACTGTTTCATTTGAGAAAAACTACTGTCAAATACACACTTAAACTCGCAGATCTCCACGACAGACCATCAACATAAAAGTTTGGTTTAACTTGAAGAAATTATGACAGAATATAGTCCTATGGTATACTGAAATGTACTTCTTAAAGAAATATATTTTTTTAAGGAATATCATAGAACCAATCAATTTTTTAATCCATGTCTTTATTTATATATTTAGAGTTCTGTTATTCAGCATCTTATTTGACAAAAAAAATGCAATGTTTTGTTGTAAATCAAATTTGATTACATTTTAAAGCATTGATTATTAGGGGCCAAGCACCGAAGGTGCGTAGACGCCTATTGTCTCCGTTGGCCTTCCTATTATTATTCTTCTTCCGTTTCTTCTTCCGAGTCTATGGCAGCCCATAGATCCGCTTGCGGGAAAGTTGTGAAATTTGGCACAATGATAGAGGACAGCCAACTTTACACTGTTTCATTTGAGAAAAACTACTGTCAAATACACACTTAAACTCGCAGATCTCCACGACAGACCATCAACATAAAAGTTTGGTTTAACTTGAAGAAATTATGACAGAATATAGTCCTATGGTATACTGAAATGTACTTCTTAAAGAAATATATATTTTTAAGGAATATCATAGAACCAATCAATTTTTTAATCCATGTCTTTATTTATATATTTTGAGTTCTGTTATTCAGCATCTTATTTGACAAAAAAAATGCAATGTTTTGTTGTAAATCAAATTTGATTACATTTTAAAGCATTGATTATTAGGGGCCAAGCACCGAAGGTGCGTAGACACCTATTGTCTCCGTTGGCCTTCCTATTATTATTCTTCTTCCCTTTCTTCTTCCGAGTCTATGGCAGCCCATAGATCCGCTTGCGGGAAAGTTGTGAAATTTGGCACAATGATAGAGGACAGTCTCAACATTAACCATAGCAAGTTTGGAGTCTCTAACTCAAACTCTCTAGCGCCACCACCTGTCCAAAGTTTCACTCATGTTTATGCTAATAACTTTTGACTGTCCAAAGTTTCACTCATGTTTATGCTAATAACTTTTGAGCCATAAGGCACAGAAGGAAAATTAAAAAATTGCAGGGTTTAGACTTTTTTCGCTATTTTTAATTGTTCGAAAAACTTGCTTTTTAGAACTCATCCTAGACTGGTTGTCTGATTCTCACCAAAATTGGCTCAGATCATCTTCAGACCATGCTGGCAAAAAGTTATGCAATTCAAATTGATTCGACCGTTGTTCCGATTTTCACCAAAATCGAATCAGATCATCATCAGACAGTGCTGCCAAAAATGTAAGGATTTCGTGTTGATAGACAAAACTGTTTGTGTATAGCACGGCAGCAAATTTGAGGCATAATGCCAGATTATGTCTGAGGCTGTATCGCTGCAAAGCTTTGACTTATTGACACCAAACTTTGTGTGTGCCATTGCTACCTCACACAGAACACATCACATCGATTTGATAACAGCGCCACCTATTGGTCAAAAGTGATAGGCCATTAAATCATATTACGAGAAGTTGTGTTTATGATTTTTCTTCAGACCATCCTAAACTTGCTTTAATTACTCATTGTTGCAGTTGGTCTGATGCTCCATGCCATGCTTAGCTCCTCATTTTGCCTTTGGAGTGCTTGGCCCCTTAATTGCTGCTTGCAGCTTTATTTTTATTTTAAATTAATTGCGTTAGACACCATTTTTGGTGATACATTTCTATGAAATCATAAAACACAGAATCCATACAAAATAAAATGGAAAACACTGAATTTAGGGGAAAATAAAAATGTAGGCAAGTAACATAATGGGTAATAAGTTGTTCACATTCATTCTCAAGGTCTAACAAACAAAACAGATACTGTGTAATGTTTTTGTCCATATCGCCCAGCCCTTCATTCTGTGTGCTTTGGCTGCTTCTTCCTGCAGGCAGCATGACTGTGGGGGATCTAGTGATGGTGAACAGGCTGCTCTTCCAGCTCTCTATGCCGCTCAACTTCCTGGTCACCGTATACAGAGAGACCCAACAGGCCCTCATAGACATGAACACGCTCTTCACTCTGCTCAGCATCGACACCAAAATAAAGGTGCGCTAGGCCTTTACTGCTGCAGAATTAAGCATACAAAGTTATTTCAATGTGAAAAGAAACCCTGTGAATGGCGTTGTATTATCTGCTCCAACCGTTCTGAAATGTCAGAGCTTTTTAAAATTTGTGACAAGAGCTTCCTTTCAGAGCTGAATATTACAAATTGAAGCATTAAAGCCTGTCATTCGTCGTAGTATTTGTTTTAATTCAGAAAACATTTGAGTGTTTCCTGTCTTTAGAGGGGGGGAGGTTGATGAATCTCATTCTTCGTTTGGCTAATTTCGTATGCAACCTGTAATTACCGTGAATAAAATCTGTCCGATTGTTCGCAGGGATCAGTAATGGTTTTCACCGCGTGACAGCACTGCCCATCAAGCCATTATTGTGAGACCCTAATTTGATTTCTCAAATGATGCATCTGTGTGTAGAATTAGTATAAAAGTGCTGAGAGCCATTGTTTTGATGATGCCATTACATTGTATTGTCTTCGAAACATGCTTGAGAAAAGCCATTTTTCTGTTTCAAGCCTCAAAATGCAAATTTCAGACTGCTACTAAATGTGTTTTTTTATAACCTTTGTGTCCGAAGGAGAAAGAAATGGCCCCCCCGATGCTCGTTACACCCCAGGAAGCCACCATCAGGTTTGAGATTGTGTATTTTGAGTACTTGGAGGGACAAAAGGTGCTTAACGGGGTTTCCTTTGAAGTACCTGCAGGGAAAAAGGTGGCCATTGTTGGCGGCAGTGGATCTGGGTAAGTGCTCCAGGAAAGACATACTTATGTTAGGTTTCTCTGAACTTGGTACAATAGGGTTCAAATTGGAGCTCCATTACTTTGAGAAATATAGCAGTAAATGCAAAAACTCTTTGGAGTGAGAACTATTAGATAATGAGGGATTATTGCCATTTAACACTGTGATAGGACTGGAGTCCCAACATTTGAGGCCTGTTTGCAGCCAAAGATAAGTAAATAATCTCATTCCATTGCTGACAGCATTTGTCGAGCTCAAACGTTTAATTTTGTTTTTTGTAAGGTTAAAGGGGTCATATGATGCCATTTCAAGTTTTCCTTTCTCTTTGGAGTGTTACAAGCTCTTGGTGCATAAAGAAGATCTGTAAAGTTGCAAATACTAAAGTCTCAAATCCAAAGAGATATTCTTTATAAAAGTTAAGAGTCAGCCACACCTACCTAAACCCCCTCGTTTAAACACGCCCCCACATATCTACGTCACTATGTGGGAAGATTTGCATAACACCGCCCAAATGTTCACGCAAAGAAAGAAGGCGTAACTTTTATTCTCGCCTGTAGTATTGTTGTTGCTGAAGGCACTGTGTGCTTCGTTGTGAAAGCGAAACTACTTTGTTTGGCCTTCCAAACAAAGTAGTTTCGCTTTCACAACGAAGGCACTGTGTGCTTCGTTGTGAAAGCGAAACTACTTTGTTTGGCCTTCCAAACAAAGTAGTTTCGCTTTCACAACGAAGGCACTGTGTGCTTCGTTGTGAAAGCGAAACTACTTTGTTTGGCCTTCCAAAAGAGGACGATATCTGCTTCATCATGCCTGGAGCTGATCCGTGCTGGTTGCTGAGGAAATACATCAACTTTGCGCTGTCGATCACCGGATCGGCTTTCACCGTGGACGAAGCGGAGTCCAGCCCGGGGTCGTCACATGTGGTTGCCGCAAGTCTCCTTCGTTGAATCCGCCGGCCGCGCCGTTCTCAAGCCCATCGCCTCCGCTCACTCTAGCCCCTGGCCTCTGCTCACTCTAGGCTGCCGTGTGT